GGTGTGAGACCGGCTGCTCTCAAAACGCCACATCTTCCTGCTTCCCGTCACATCCCAGTTCTCATCAGTGGGCTGAGATAACTGAGTCCTCACCTCCACCAGGTGCTCTGGGTTGGCCTCCACCAGAGTCTTGGTAGAGAACAATCCTAGGTCTGGCATGAAGAGAAAGACACCAAAATGTCAACCGATGAAAACAAAGGATAAAAACTCAAATAAATTAATTAATTAATTAAATATTTAATTATTAAATAGTAATAATAACTATTATTTTTTTTATTATTATTTCAAAAGTTGTTGTTTTTTTTTAAGGCATGGTTTTGGAGGGAATGTGTGATTGAAATTTTCAGCATTTTTAAATTAGCAACAAGAGACAATAGAGGAAGGATACAATTGGGAATCAAACGGGAATATGAGGTTTAGGTTTCAAACCCTTACACACAAATTGGGTCCAAATGTAGAAAAATATGGACAAACAACACTTTTTTGCTATACAATAAAAATGCCATTTAACATGACAGGAGTATTAAAATTGTCCAAATGGCCCAAATTTTCCTGACAGCAACTTTCCAGCCAATAATGAAGAAATATACATAAAAGGTCTAACATTGAAAGACCATGACAACACATTAACAAGGATACAATATCAGTCCGAATCTAATTTAAAAATGTAATGTCAATTTTTCCTAAAATACTTCTATTTTCTGTAATAAGGTAAAATTATATATTCCATCATGTCATTTATGAGGTTTGAAAAACAGGTACATAAAAACTCCATTTAAGCAGAACGCTGCTACTGCTGCTGTTTTTTTTCTGTAGTGGGGATGCTCCCATGTAATGCCACTTTCAACATGCAGATGGTGCTGTTGTCATTTACACCCAAATCATCCTGAAATGTGTGTAAAACTCTGTTTGTAGTGGTGCTAGTTAAATGTCTGACCGAGTGCTGCTCAGTCACAAAACTACAACATAATTTAAACAAAGGTGCTAATACACAACAAAACCCATAAAAACCACAGATCAGTGCTCACACGTACGCAGTGCTTTGGCAAGCACTCAAATGTGCACAAGCGCCCAAAAACACATTCTCACCTAGTTTGAGGGCTCCAGCTAGGCCACGGATCACTGTAACGGGGTTGGCTGTGTTTGTGCAGAACTGGTGTAGAGGCGGAAAAAAAGCGTCCCTCTTGTTCTCCAACTGCCAAGAATTTAAAAAGTAGGTTTAGGTGACTGGAGAAAAAAAGCTTGGAATTTAAAAAAGGGTGTAAAAGTGCAAGCATAAATTAAGGTCAAACAAAGTTTACTTCTTTCCCATGGCAACAAATGCTTTTAATCGGTGCAACTGGACCTTGTATTTTGACTTGTAAATAGCATGACGGCAGTAATACTAGAATGAGTAGTTAAAGAGCATCCAGGCTGCACCGTGTCAGATGTTGGTGATGTTTCACTCACATAAATACTAGGAGTGGGAGAATTGAGCTTGTCCTTTGGCAGAGGAGGGAAGGGTGCAGGTGGTAACCGTGGAGGGGGACACTTGTCCAGCAAGATGCTGTTACTGGACACACCATTCTTCCCCAGGTTTCTGTAAAATAATTTTCATGAGATATTAATTAGCACATGTCCAGATGGCTATACATAATATAATATAATAAAAACTATAATACATCATTTATATCCAAATCTCATTTTAATAGACTGCATGCTGCGGTGAAGATTGTAATCTCTGATGTATTCTTGTCTACATGACAGGGACACTGAGGGTCAGCACATGTGCTGTTGCTTTCTAGACACAGGTGGAGCCACAAGCCAGATCACTAGAGACAGAGAGACACACTGGCAATGTCCTTCCCCATCAACAGCCATTCCAGTCAAAACAAACAGTTAATAAGACTGTAAGCACTGAGGAAATGTCCCACTTTAACCAACATGCCAGAAGGTCAAAAGTTCAGTAACTAAAATGTCTCTAAATAATTACAGCTGTGAGGCTGGAGCATAGTCATGCAGGTTTTTGTTTGGAAGCGGAACCTTGGTGATTATAAAAACTGACCAGTTTTACTCTGCCTGACATTTTCTGCAGCTTAGTCTCTGTGTTTTTGGGTAGTGTGGTACTTTCGCTGTCATTTTTAATGATGGAATAGCTTTTTTAACATGCTGTGGCATAGAAAATATTTTGCAAGCAAGAATTTATCAGTCTTGCTTATTACTAGTCACTAGATAGGTTAGCAAATGCATATGAAATTAGCACTGCATAAACAAACAAATAAATAAAACTGTGCATACTATACACTACTATTTAAAC